TTATTGCTCCATGAGGCAGCACACTGCGATACCGGCTCCACGTTACACCTATAAATCACGTATTTATACTCCATAATCACACATTTAGGCAGTGTGCTTCATTATTGCTCCATGAGGCAGCACACCTTATTAGAAGCTACTGTGTCTGTTTTATGGTTACTTTTCATAGTGGTTCATGTCTCGCGCAGCAGTACAGTGTGTGCGGGGCTGCACTGCGAGGCTGCACTGCAGGACAGGAGCACGTGGCCTTTTGCCGGCTCTACACCTCCAGCAGCCTTCTCAGTAGCTCCTCTCTCCTCTATCCATGTAATCATCTGCCATTGGCAACATGTTTCCTCTGGAGTCGTCTCCTGCTGACAGCTCTCTTTCCCGTCACCCAGCACTTACACACCTGCCCCTGGGGCCCAGAGTGAAAGGTGAACCCCCCCAGAAGGAGAAGACGGGAGGGGGGCAGGAGGATGAGGAGAAGCCCACCCTGCACCATGACTGTAAGAGCTACTGCCTACGACCCCAAAGCAATTATGCACACACAGATACACACACACACAGACCTATACTCATATCTTTGTGGGTAACCAAAGTTTCCAAAAAGGTGGTCCCCACAACATCAAAATAACAGGTTTTTATTACATTGTGGGGACACACAGACACAGGCACGCATAACGCATGTGCAGGCATGCATAACACGTACAAACATAGATGCACAGACACGCATAGACATGCTCGCACACACATATGGGTACCTTGAAATAAGTATTTCACCCGTCTGATTTTCGTGTATATTTCACAGTAAATGTCGTCAAAGCTGAACACAGAGAGAGAAGCATTTACACTAAATTCAAACAAAAAAAAGCTCCATGCATTTAAAAGGGAATGTAGTGGAATAGCACATGCTGTCAGGTGAAATAAGGAGTCACTCCGCAGGAAGCCAGTCTCGCATTTAGCAGCAAAGACTGCAGCCAAATGCTTCCCGTGATTATTACTGTTCAGCTCGACGGCGCTTCTACAGACAGACGGCCCGGCATTATCCTGTACGATTCTCCGGCACCGCGCAGAATTCAGGGCTCCTTAAAACAATGGCAGGTGGCAAGGTGCTGGTGCGGTGAGCGAGATCGGCTGTGCGTGTGACGGCCAGACTGTGGGACGACCACATCTTTGCTCCCTTCACACATAACCGGCCAACATCAGGCACGTCTCAGACTAATGAGCCTCATGTCTGGACACTTAAACAGCCGACTGCAAACATGCCTTTATATTACTTTGCCACACCTAAAGACTGTTTAATTCCATCACACGTCAAACAAATAAACCCGCCAAGCTGTGGTTCCCGCGCACAGTCCACCTATCGTGCTACTGCCATGCACTAAAAGATGCGATTTCTGCACGGAAAATGTGCACAAAAATTGTGAAGATGCCAAAAACCACGAGAAGAGGCCTCAGACACACCACAGTCCCATGAGCAAATAAGGCCTAATGCCGTTGCCATGGTACTGTGGATGGTTACCCAAAGCTTTGCCAAAAATCAGCTGAGGCAGATGGAGACACTCAGTGTACTTTTTCTGGGCAGTTCTTAAGCAGGACCCTTCGGGGGACGTCTGTGCCATGCTTCTGGCCGAAGCGGAGCAGCCGGAAGCAGCGCGGGCCTCGGATTTGCAAGTCGCACCACTGGACGCCCCCATTGTCGGGCGAGATGGCAAGCCACCAGCCTCCCTGCCCTACACGTGTGGAGAGTGTGGCAAAGCCTTCAACCGTAAGGCCTATTTGCGCAGGCACCAGCGGCTGCACTCTGGCCGCACGGCGTACCGCTGCAGCCAGTGCGACAAGAGCTGCAAAGACGCAGCAGCGCTGCGCATCCACTGGCGCACGCACACCAAGGAGACGCCCTACCAGTGCGTGCAGTGTGGAAAGAGCTTCACGCAGCGGGGCAGCTTGAAGGCGCACCACCGCGTGCACACTGGTGAGTGCCCCTTCTGCTGCGCCACCTGTGGTCGCAGCTTCAACCAGCTGGGCAACCTGCGCCGGCACCGCCGCATCCACTCTGGTGAGCGACCCTATGTCTGCCAGGACTGCGGCAGAAGCTTCCGGGGTCTGCGGCAGCTGGAGACGCACCAGCGCATCCACTCAGGGGAGACGCCGTATGCGTGCCCCACCTGTGGGCGGAGCTTCAGACAGGCAAGCGGCCTGGCGAGACATCGGCACCGGCACTCGCAGGAGGCACCCTATCGCTGCACCGACTGCGGACGCAGCTTCCGCAGCTCAGGGGGCCTACGCAAGCACCAGCGGGTCCACTCAGGTGAGACACCGTACCACTGCAGCGAGTGTGGCAAGCGCTTCCGGCGACTGCGCTCGCTGACGCTGCATGGGCGCGTGCACAGCGGGGAGCGCCCCTACACATGCATGCAGCCGCAGTGTGGCAAGGGCTTCAAGCAGCTGGAGCAGCTGAAGGTGCATCTGCGCACGCACACCAAGGAGACGCCGTACCACTGCACTGAGTGTGGCCGCAGCTTCAGCCAGCCGGGGAGTCTGCGGGCACATCAGCGCACGCACAGCGGGGACCGGCCGCACCGCTGCACCGAGCCCAGCTGCACACGCGGCTTCCGGCAGCCAGAGCAGCTGTCGGCACACCTGCGAGTGCACCAGAGGGACCAGTCTGCTGGCGTGGGGCACGACGACCCGCCTCGCCCGGGCAATGAACAGTCCGTCACACAGGACTAAACCTCATTAGAAAAAGCACCATGTATCCAGGGAACGGCGAAGCGCAAAGTACATGCAGTATTCACACTGGCCACCTGGGGTCAGCACGTACTATGTTTTTTTTTTTTTAAATCGGAATATTATTTAAATTGTCGCCGTTTGCGTTTAGTGCCAGAACGGCGAATGGCACCGAGATATTAATATCGGATGTTCCCGTGAACTGGGCACACTTTAACCAATGACAGACTCACCAGTGAACCGACTCGTATCCAGTTAGGGATGCGCGAGTGTCTCGGAGTGGCTCACTCCTCTGCTCCGCTCGCTTGCTTTACTTACAGTGATCTGAAGGCAGGGCAGCAGCATGTTCCTGCCTTTCTGAGATTTTCAAACCTCAAGCCAAAGTCAAAGTGAACTTTATTGCCATCTTTCCATATACGAGTATACGGGAAAAATGAGATGGATAAGCTCAGAATCCACAGACACACTATGTGTAAAATTCAATCATATGTATAAATAGACACAGTAGTCAAGAGATACTAAAGCCAAAAGCTGTGTATCCTAGACAGGTTCAACTGCGACAAAACCATAAGAAAATGTGCCCGATCTTAAATATTGACGCCGAATTTTACTTCCTATTTTTCTTCATCGGCAGATATATTCGCTAATTCGTCTTAAGGTATACCGGAACTGTGTAGAAATATCATGCACAGGAAGAATAAAATCATTTCAAAAGTGTACGTTTTCGTTGGCTTCTCGTAACCGTTTACAGACCAAAATCGATAAAACGAAAAGCAATGTCTCCCAGACCATAAATGTTGATCCCATTGAAAATGAAGGTGTTCAGTTCGTCGGAGCTGGCGGCAGACACGCACTACGCAGAAGTTTATTTGAAATTATAAATTTTACTATAGAAAAGATTTTATACTAGTTGGCAGGGGTCGTAGGAACTAGTGGTACGTGCCCCCCACTATTTAATTTGGCTTCATTCATCCCGCCCATTAATCTTGTATTTTAATTATTTAAATTTAAATTATAGTGCCCCCCCCCCAATCTCAAAATCTTTCCTCCACCATTGATAGCTCATGTTCACTAGCAGGGGTGTCAGAAGGGCATGAATCCCCTGGCAGATTAAGGGCAGCCTGGCCCTTAACAGGGACCCTCAAATCCATAAAGTTGAGGGGGGGGGGCGGCAAGGTGACATTTTGTCATGAGGCCCAGAATTTATAGATACGCCCCTGTTCACTAGACAGCTGAAAGTGACACTAGGAAACCTTAAACCAGGACATGTCTGAGGCAACAGCTGAGATACGTACAGCCAGCACTCGCTCCCAGATCGCATTACCAAACCGGAGACGGCAAAGTAACAGCTTCAAAGATCAATGGCCGACGGCGCTCAGCCTGGGCGTTTTATTTTGCTTTGGTGATGAGGTGGAAAGTCACTGAAGCATTTCGTGACCGCTGGCCGTCTGCAAGGACTTCAGCCGAGCGGGATTTTACACAGAAAGGCGCAGTTCTGATGGAGTGACCACATGGTTTGAAATTACAGAAAAGGGTGGTGGGGCCGAAAAGGACCGTCGGGTTTTTAAACCATTTCAAATCAATTTCAGTGTCTCAGCATGTGAGAGAAGCTGGTGTTTTACAGGAATGTCATGTGACCTATATGACCAGTCCTGACAAACCAGTTACCTGGTACCGTAAGCTGATCTTACACTGATTATGCTGCTTACATCTGATAAGTGGAAGGACATAAATTAAGAGTTAAACCTCAGGAGTTTAATGAGTAAAAAAAAAAACCACAAGGGACCATAAAGTGTCAGACCTGCACTTTAGATACATCTCGAGGAAAAACCGTTACATTGTGTGTGAAAACAGGCTTCAGTGCTGCAGAGCCAGTGGATGTGGTGGCGGGAGCTGTCCTCAGCTCCAACAGGGGGCGTCGTGCCTGCTCAGCACCAGCAGGGGGCGTCGCGCTTGCTCAGCTCCAGCAGCTCGGCCTCCACCTCCTTGGCGTCCTCGGGGAAGCGCTCCGTGAAGGAGCGGATGAGCCCGGCAGCGCTGCTCTCGTACTCCACGAGCTCCACAGACCCACCTGCCAGTCACGTGGCACCGCCAGATCAATCAGTCATCGCACCTCTTACATTTTCTTTTCACAGCCAATTATACAAAATAAACAGCCCCCCCCCCCCACAATACCAAAGCTGAAGTACAATATTACACTAATTTAATTAAAAGTAATGACTGACTAGGTTAAGGAAAGACAGGACTTTCCAAATTAATGATGAATGTAACCACAAAAAACCAGGCCAGACCATCCTAAACGAACGCCTAGATTAGGCTTGATTCAGGATGTTGCCCTATTTTCAGAGCTAAAAATATTTTCAGTGTTAATTATTGATGCTATTCAGCAATTAAAACAGTACACTGCCAGCAACCAGACGGCGGCAGGGGGGCGTTGGCTGACCATTGACGCAGGTGTTGGCCTGGACGAACATCTTGCGAGCTTCCTTCCTCAGCAGGACGGTCTCACGCAGACGCAGGAAGTCATGCAAGCCAGTGGAGGTCACCGCTGAGTAGCCCTCATAGAGAGCGCGGCCCCCCTCCACGTCGGCCGTCGACTTATGGACCTGTGGGATGGAAAACGAGGGGGGGGTGTCGTACACTGAGCAGATCAAAGAGGAGCACGGAAGTACCTCAGACTGAAATGCGATGATTCAAAGGCAGAGCTTCCAAAGTACACGTACTTCAAAAGATCTAACCCAGGCACCCCAGATATTAATATAAATTAACATCCTAATATGTGGCAGGGATCTGAAAAGCAACCATTAACTGTGTCAAACTGAAGATAAAATTATTCATAATGCAATTCATCAAACTGACCTGCAGTTTGCAGAGGAACCTCTGGATGGCAGTCTTGCCCACAGTGTGAATCTTGGCTCGGTCCAGGGCTATGAGGGCGTCGGGCCGCCCGTCAGAGCCCGTGCACTCCTCCAGAGTGACGAAGCCATCGGCAGCCTCCAGCAGCACACGCAGGATGACAAATCGCGCCTGCATGTGGGCCTACGGGGGATGGGGGGGGGGGGGGATGAGATGCTGTGCGACGCCCAACTGGACGTGAAGCATGGGGGCTGGCCTGGGGGACAGGAGCTCACCAGGATAAGCAGCCCCATAATGATCAGTGTCATTAGACTCGCTCAGGAAACAATGTGAAGATTAAGGAACAGAGCTTTTTGGGGACCCAGTACCGAGAGATAGACAGAATAAGAATGTAGCTGTTACAGATGAAAGGCACCACGTGTGAGTGCATGTGCACGCGAGTGTGACATGGGCTCTGCTTGCGGCTGGCCCCACCTGTCTCCAGCTTTTACTCTCGGGGGTGTAGAATTCCAGCCCCAGCAGGCCGGACCGCACCATGTTCAGCCAGTTGACGTATATCACCTCCTCCGCCAGCTCGCCCTCATGTCCAAAGATGCTGTAACCCAAAACCACTGGCACGTCACACCCCAACCGAAAATGATCCCAGGCCCTGCCCCTGGCTGGGCTAAAGCACACCCCACCCAGGCTGAGAATGACCCCGCCCTCACCCGAGCACCTCCTTGTTGAGGCAGAGGTAGAGGCCGACGCACTCGGCCCTGCACTCCTCATAGGACGATGCGATGGTGGAGAATCTGCTGTCCCACGTCTCACCTCCCTTGTACCAGCTGGATATCTATGGACAAGACAGCATAATTACCGAAAACCGAAATTCCTTTAAAAACAACAGCGACAACAAATAAAAACTGACAGCCCACAGCCACGTGCCCCCACCCCACCCCAGAGAATCCTGTGGCCCACCTCATACCTCAGAACCATTCCCCGGCCCACTGACCGACAAAACCCACATATACAAAATCTACAAATCTTATATTCCAAACCGCAAAGTGACCCGAAGGAGCCCTGCTACGCGGCTCGCGCTCCCAGTTCCCGGCTCCTTCAGGCACTGACACCCACCAGCTCCCCCGTCTCTGGGTTGCGGACGCTCTCCTGGTCAAAGTTGAAGTTCCCCTTCTCGTCCTGGAGTGGGAAGAAGAAACATGGTGTCCCCAAAGAGAGACTCACATCACGTGCGACACTCGCGTATCTACTCTGCGTACGCGTCCACGGAAATGCTCATAGTTCTCCAGTCAAGCCATGTACTTGTGCATATGTGCACAACGTGTTGTAGATATGTTTTTATTAATAATATGAATTATTATTCTAATATTCCCTGCACACGTAGCACAGTAGTGAGGTTTATGTCCGTTTCTCAATGTTTTACAAATTCAGAGGCAGCTCACAGGGTTCCCAACTTTGGTCGGCTGGCTGCTGTGAGATTTTCAATTCTGCACACACATGCACACGCATTTACATGTATCCAAGAGATTTATTACCTTGTAAATACAGTAAAACCGGTCTAAGTCGACACTCGCGGGACCAGCTTAAAAGTGACGACTTAGAGAATTGACGAGATAGACACAAGTCGCCAAAGTGTCGACTTTTGCTTGAGTGTCGACTTGTGCACATTGACGAGTTACAAGCCGGCGACTTAGACCAGTTTTACTGTAGTCTGGTTTGCAAACTACCCCAGTGCTCGTGAAAAGCATCCATGCTAGTATGAGCCTTTAAGCGCAGGTGTTCCTGATATCCAGGACACTGCATAGGTAACGGCCACCAAAAGACCAAAATTCATCCGACAGTCACTGGATGAAATTTTCTGTAGGAAACAGACATTAGCGAGACTCACTGCTTTATGCACCTTCAGCTAAGGATTCACACGCTCATGGACAGACACAGGCAGACAGGCAGGCGAAGTACCGCAGCACTGGAATCCCAAAGACATGAAAGCCGGCCGAATCACCTGGACAAAGAGCTTGCCGCTGCCATGCCCCAACAGTTCATGGAGTCCCACCTGGACCTCGAAAGAGGGGCCTTTCCACTTGATGTAGACGTCCTAAGGACAGAAGGAATGGGGCTCGTGTTAGAGAGGGGGATGCATGCGGTAGGGTGGAGATGGACAGACAGAGGACAGGGACAGGCAGGCAGAGAGGGGGACAGGCCTTTCCACTTGAAGCAGATGTTTTAACGACGGACAGGATGGGGCTCGTGTTAGAGTGGGATGCACACGGCAGGGTGGGGAGGGACAGACATAGGGACAGACGGACAGATGCCTTGTCACTCTCGTTGAGGAAGGTCAGTTTGTCCTTCTGCGTGGCATAGGCCACTGCCAGCACGTTCCCCAGGGACACGTTCTTGAAGCCTTCAGTCTGCCGGATATCATCATCTGGAAGAAACACGGGATCGGCAATCAACCTGCGGCCGCACCGTAAATGCACACAACTGGAAGAGGACCCCCCCCCAAAACTAAGTCTAATGGGTGAGTCCTTCACACAAAGCACATTAAATGAGCAATACCATGTCAGTGTTGGGGTAGGTCCACTTACAGGTACACTGACAGAACCCTGGTGATGTGCTGCAGACACCCCCCCTGCACGGATATCCAAGTGACCAAAATCACTTGTATATTTGTCGTCTTATGTGAAAAGCACTTTTTTTAAATGATTGTGAATCCCTGCTTTTTTGTATGTTATTACAGGTGACTATATGGATGGTATGTGCAGGTTGGATGTGCAGGTGGGTTACTAGAGCCATTTCACGAGACGTCGGTTAGTTGAGGGGGCATGGTTTGGGGCATGTTGCTGACCCCCCGAGCCCTGGGACGGGCCTCTGCCAGCCACTCACAGTTGGGGATGTTGATGCCAGCTGGGATGCCGCTGCCTGCGAACGTCAGCACGTCGAGGGAGGTGAAGTCAGGCTTTAGGAAGGTGTCCTTCTCGAAGGCCGCTGGCCATGGGAGCTCCGGCAGAAGCACCTCGGCGGAGCTCACCAGCTTGGCGAAGCGGGCGCTCATGGCCTTGTTAACCACCGCCACAAAGCCTGGAGGGAGGAAGCAGAGGTGGGGTGGTCAAGGAGCAGGAGCGCAATGAGAGCCAGAGGGGAGGAGAGGCGGGCAATGCGAGAGCTAGAGGGGAGGAGAGGCGGGCAATGCGAGAGCCAGAGGGGAGGTGAGGTGGGCAATGCGAGAGCTAGAGGGGAGGAGAGGCGGGCAATGCGAGAGCCAGAGGGGAGGTGAGGTGGGCAATGCGAGAGCCAGGGGGGAGGAGAGGCGGGCAATGCGAGAGCCAGGGGGGAGGAGAGGCGGGCAATGCGAGAGCCAGGGGGGAGGAGAGGCGGGCAATGCGAGAGCCAGAGGGGAGGTGAGGCGGGTGCGGTCGAGGGGCAGGAGAGGCGGGCGAGGAAATAAAGCACACAGACTGGGGAATCATACCTTCAAACTCGCCCCTTGATCCAAATGGGTCCCTGTAGCTCTCAATGAAGCCGATGTAACTAGAAACGGAGATCAGAGGCAGCGACTGATAACAGGCATGCAGGCAGGGAAAAAATGGGTATGAACCCCCCAGGTGAGCAAAGGGTGGTGAAGGGTATTCCTGGCTATGTGTCTGGCTGATAATGAGAGCTGTGTGCGCAGCACCACCAGAACAATGACGGATGGTACAGCAGCAGTAATCAAACCCCCCTTGGCCGGGCTGCGTGTAGGGATACCTCTCCACGATGGGCCCCTTGTCCTTGATCCAGTAGCGGGACCCCTCTTTGTGAGAATCCACGGAGCCGAAGGTGAAGCTGCGGACATACTCCTCCAGCATCCGCCGCTGATTCTCATTGGCCGCGTACGCCTATGGCAAGAGATGCCGAGCTAACACGCCAGGTAAGACCCCCGCGGTACTGGCACCAGGGTGCATGTGGAGCAGAGGGTCTTGCGGACTGTGGGTCTCACCTGGGCCTTCTCCAGGTTCTCGCTCACTTTCTTCATGAGGGGAGCGTAGTCACCCCTGCGCACGGTGAACATGGCGTTCTCGAACTCGTACTGGCCACAGTGCGTCTCTGTCTCGCCGTCCACGGTACGGTCTACAGCAGACAATGTAACAAAAAAAAATGCATAGCACAAGTGACCAATAAGCGATGTCCGGTCACATGGGCAGAGTAAAATGATCTGATTGGCTGCAGACAGATGCTCACCCTTCTGCACAGCAGAAGCCAATCGCACTTCATAGCTCTCCTTCCCCTCGACGCCACCCGTCTTGAAGAGTCGCGTGTTGTAGGCACTCAGACTCTGGTTAGCGACATGGGGGGTGTAGTTCAGAATGCAGCCAGCAGAGGGGGCAAGTGAGCGCTGAACTGCATGGCAAGACCTTTACCTTGGAATCCAGAAACCTCTGGGCCAACTCAGCGTCGTTTAAAGAGCAGTTCCCTGAGAAGTATGTGGTGATCCCCTAGAGAGGAAACCATAATCATCATCTTCATCAGATTAACGATAATGCTAAAAATACGGCCCTAAGAATGTAAACACGGCACCACCGGAGTGATGTCATCAGGGCTAGACGCTGCTTACATTCTGCTGCAGTCAGAAACTGTTACTACTGCTATCAAATGCACGACAGTCCATCCTTGGTTATGGCCATTCTGCTAAACGAGACACATCTTGAGCCCTGTCCAAAGAGATCTATGCCTTATCACCAACATGGTGCTGGAGCAAGTGCTAGGCTGGTTCTTGCTTGGTTTTTGAGAACCTGCTTGCGTTTCCACCAGTTTAAAAAAAAAAGAACTGAATGGAAATGTTGCACGAGCAGAAGTGAAAATAAAGGTTCATGTCTTTTAAAAAAAAATTTATATCTGTTTCAGATTTAAGTTTTTATAAGCTGCCAACCAAGAAAAGTTAATGACTCGTTGCTCCCTGTCTCTTGCCTGCATCCATTTTCCACTCAAAGGCTGTATTTCTCCCCAGTCTGTGTGTGTAAATGATTTTATTCTTTATTCTCCCTCGTCATTTTAACCACTGTCCTTTTAAGGATCACACAATAAGAGTCTGCTAAAAACTGAACTTTGCTGTCTGCCTCATGATCTCTTCGCCACTGCAGCACCACAATATCTTAAAGAATAAAACAGCCTGGCACCATCCCCGGCACTGCGTCGGTAGAAATGGGGTACTAGGGTTCTGGGCCTGGATCTGGTTCTGGGTTCCAAAACGCCAGAGGAGAGAGATGTGGTGAAGGTGTGCCCTCAGTACTGAGAGTTCCGGAAGTCGCTTCATTGCCCATGATCCCAGTGTCTTTCTGTTTATCTGGATTGCACTGCATCAAGATTTTTAACAAACATTACTGCCTCCAGCTCCTGATGTCTGTCACGGCGTCTGCGCCCTTGCCTTGTCTCCAAGGCCCAGTTGCTTGTGTTTGTCGTCCAGAGAATAAAGCAGGGGAGCACATGTGCTCCACAGCGCCTCCATCTCTGTGGGGCTGTCCTGGAACGCCTGGCACTGCCACACCAAGGCCTTCAGCTTCTCCTGTCGAGAAGAGACACACACACAGCCCAAGGTTATGGAAAGATCTTCCTCCATCGTAGCATCTTGCAGATTATGTTGAAGGTTTTAAAGGGCAGCTTAAAACTTACCTTTTTTCTCAGGCTTTTTCTCACGTTTTACTTACATACACACACACAATCAGTCAAGAAAACCAAAGCATTTGCGATCCACAAACGGCGAAGGCAGGAAGAGGACTTCACCTGCGGGAGGTTGGGGATGAACTTTGTGTCTCCAAAAGACTTGTAGTTCCCCATATTGGCATACAGTCCAGCAGCGTAGACCAGGAAGGCCTGAGATGAGAACAGAACATTCCAGAGCAGGCGGTGTTTCCGCTGGTAATTTACCCAGCAGCCTCGGCTGTTTTACCCTCACATCCCAAATACTTTACAGAGATTGATTAGGTCTAAGTGGTGGGCGTTAGCCTCACAATCCTGTACTGTCAATTACTGTTTAAGCCAATAAGATCCACTCAATCAACCCATGGACACTGAGCTAATCCAATCAGTGGTCGAGAGTGGAAAAAATCCCACCCAGCACAGACTTCATTGAGTTGGTCTGACCTGATACTCATCGGCGGTTAGCCCGGCGGCCGTGGCCACGCTCTCCAGCTGAGCTGGGCTCTGGAGCCGGAACATGCGCTGCAGGAGGACGTAGATGGAGGCCGACTCGGGGGACGTCTGCAGCAGCACGACGAGTCCCCCGTACCAGGATGCTCGTGACAGGTAGTGAGCATAAAGCTGCTCTTTGGGAGAGAGCAGGCGGAAGGCCTCGCCGCATTCCAGCGCCGAGATGCCGACGTCGTTGGGGAGGTAGTACTGGGAGTCCACCATGGCGAGCCGAAGTCTCACACGTGAGGAACAAGGCAGCTACAGAAAGACGAGGGTAACCAGGTCAGGCTCTGGCTAGGGTCAGCGCAGGGTGCAAACACACCAGCCACACAGAGTGACATGTCATGGCCGGTACTTCTGTTAGGTAAAATTATGAAAACATTACTAAAACTTGGAAAATCACACAAGAATCTGCAATCAAAAAGGATTGGAAGCGCATGTGTTTTTTTTTTTATCAAAGGTAAACCTTAATTAAATCAAACAGCACTATAAAAATGTCCTTCCTGTTAATCATTCACATCAAGAGGCTCTTAGTCAGACAATTTTGCACGTGAAAATAAGCAACGATATGCACTTTGGCCTTGTTACTATGAAAACGAAACCGTATTTGCAAGGCACATAATTGCAGTTGAAATCATATTTAAACTTAAAATTGTAAAGTCACGCGTTCCATTTAATGCTAAATTCAAATTGCATCTCATAGTGTGAAATAAATCTGGCTAAACGATTACGTACTACGAATGACAGGTTAGCCACGGACTTCGGGAAACAGATGTCTTATAAAAAAAATGTAGCCGAGAAGCTAACGTTAGCTCATCAAAAGTACATGATTAACTCGGCGAACTTGCGACCTTATGATTTTCTAACAAGATAATTGTAAGGCATGCATACAAATCCTTCATTACCGTATTATATCACTCTCCCTAATGGCAGCACTAATAATAGTAGTTAAGTAATTGCCCGGCTCTCGCCTGCGATTTTAAACCCTCGTTCCGTTTCTTAAATTGCACTCTCACCCTTCCATATCTACTTCCGCTTTTCATTCATTGCCAGCTCCGCCTACACGCCAATGAAATAACGGACTAAATAATTGGCATGTTCTCTGGCCAATCATGTCTGGCCCAGTCCATATATGGCACACACTACCGTGCCCTTCGACAGACAACATACCGATTTTCTGCGATTAAGCCGTTGGATGGCGACTTGCATTTCTAGGGGACATGTCGTGTATATTGGAATGGAAATGCTTTCCTTTGTTTTGCAGGCCTCGACGAACTTGTTAACATTTACGAACAATTACATGAGCATATATAATATTAATATAAGGAAGTCGCAGTTTCTTACGGAACCTAAGAGTAGCCGTTAATGTTATTATCGCATATCTATAAAACCATGCAGAATTTGTCAGTACCTTCCGAAGAGGGTAGCTGAGCGCTGCGCAGACCTGCAGTGAATCAGATTTACTTGGCTTATTAAGCAGTCATGCGGACACCACGTGTTCATCGGTCATGGATAAGGGTGGCGTATGTAGTAATGTTTAGTTAGCATACAGGAAGCATAGTTCAATATGCTCCTCACGCTCCAGTGGTGCTTTCGCAAACTCCAATTACACTGAGATACAAACAAGACCGCTCTTCCCCAAAGATTTCAATTAAATGATCGTAAACAGGCTGGTCCCGAGAACAGAAAAAAATATTCTAAAAAAAATAAATATAGCTCTTTATAGCTGATTATAGTAAACTTATCCATGTTAAATATATTTTCTCAATTAAGGTTTATCAATGCATGCAAATGTTTGCTTCAGAGTTAAGTTTTCTTTTCTTGTAAGAAAAAGTTTTTTTTTTTTTTTTTTTTGGTTTTACAAACAAACGGGGCAGGCCGATGTTGGTCTCAGCAGGCAAAACAGAGAAATTGCTTCATTTTCATATCCTGCATTACTGTCAGTGTGGGCCCTGAGCCTAGTGTCCCTGCAAAGACACTTTATGATTGCTTTACATATCTGTTTTGTGTCGTTGTTTGGTAATGGAAAGTGTTTACTATTTTTCCAATTTTTAAGAAGCAATTTTTATATTTTTCTTAGTACTGTGAGACAACACAGCCTTAAGGAAGTTAAACCACTGGCCCAATCCAGTACATGGGAGCATTTGTTTATTTATTTGTTTATTTTTCTCCTGCAGAAGTATGCTATTTTGTGCTAATATACAGGTGGTTCTCACAGTAACAGTGTCATGACGACATATTCCTGGTCAGGCTCGTCATTAAACTCATTTATTCCAGTTTTTCACTTGTCAACACTGCTTTGAATCCTTCTTTCATACAGTTCTCTAACCATTAATGATCTTCAAACCTTAACCTGTATAACTTCTTTGACTTTTACTGTGATGGGGGGTGGATATTGTTTGATAAACATTTAATTGTATTTACATAACATACATTGATTTTCTCTGGTATTTTGCAATTCTGGTTACCAGCAGAGTACAATGACTAGATAATTCATGTTGGGGGGGGGGTGTACTATGAGCTAGGGCAACCATTTCAGTTAAAAGAACCTGAATTTCCCCGAGTTCTTGCTGTGTGCTGATTGGTCAGTCTCCTATAATCAATGCATGTATCACTAATGTTAATGTGAAAAAGCTGGATGAGTCTTTCAGTCAAGGAAACAAAACAAAACCAAAGAACAAGGAGACCTGAACTGTTCAGCCAAACACAGGAGCCTTTCAGTTTTAAGAGTAGTTGTAAAACCAGAAGCAGCTCATAGTGCCCCCCCCCCCCCACCCCCTGAGGTGGATTAGATGGTCACCCTATAGCAGACTGTAAATTCATTTTCGGGGTGTCGCCTGCCTTTCCCGGGGGGTAGCTGATATGCACCCCTCTCCTCAGCCCCCAGTCCCTGGTTGTGGTGCTGCTGCACGATTTCATTTTTTTCAGCTAAATACCAGGCCACACAGGGCTTCCCTAAACAGGAAACCACCCTGATTCTCATTTCTGCACCATATCTTGACCACCCAGGTCTTCTTTCATCTCCCTGCCA